GACGATCTCTCACTTCAGCCACACGCGTCTGCTGGCTTCCAGGTGGAACCATCACTGTTGCTCGTGTCTTCAGTTGTGGACCTCTGGCCACCTGTCAAGACTGCTTTTGAATCTTTCATGAAGCTCTGATACCTTTCCAGAGTACATGGGTTCTCACTCCTGAGTGGAAGAAAGTTAGTCTAAGGAAGAGTTTTGAAGACAAAGTATTTTAAATTCAGCTCTAATTCTATGTAAATACAACTAAGCTCTGTCAACATTTATGTAACTTTTCTAGTCCTGCAGATGGTATTTTAAATTGAGGGCTGGGGACCATCTCTTATTTATTTTTATATCCACTTGGAACCAATCCATGGTATTCAGACAAGAATGAATGGTCAACACTGTGAGTATAGTAAAACTCTGTGTAGTACTTCCTAATCTAAAATATGATTGTAAATTGTGATACAGTAGAAAGACTACTGGATGAGGAAGAAGAAATTCTAGATTCTAGTACCACCCTCCACCCCTTTACTAACTCTGAGGGAAGCCCTAGTTTTTATTTGTGGCACTATCTGGCTCCCTTTTCTGGTTTCTGAAGGTTGTTGGGACAATCAAAAGAGGAACAGTAAGTAAAAGTGCTTTGAAAGTGACACAGCTCCATGAAGTTGCAAGGGGAAACTGTTATGATATTTGAGGCTGCAAAAAATATAACTTTTTTTTTTTTTTGAGACAGAGTCTTGCTCTGTCACCGAGGCTGGAGTACAGTGGTGCAATCTCGACTCACTGCAACCTCCGCCTCCCAGGCTCAAGTGATCCTTTGGCCTCAGCCTCCTGAGTAACTGGAACTACAGGTGTACGCCACCATGCCCAGTGAATTTTTGCATTTTTAGTAGAGGCGGGGTTTCACCACTTTGGCCAGGCTGGTCTCAAACTCTTGACCTCAAGTGATCTGCCCGCCTAGGCCTTCGAAAGTGCTAGGATTACAGGTGTGAGGCATCATGCCTGGCCAAGAATATAACTTTATTAGGCTTTACCTGCTATGTACATCCATCCCAGTTTCATGGCAGTCTCTGGCACAATAAATAACCAATTTGGCTAGATTCCTTTCTTGGTGTTGGCAATGCCTGATTTAAATAGCAAGTGGTTACTCGAGATCACAAATCCACCTGACTTAGGTACTATTTGTTTTGATGGATATCACTAGATAGTAGTTCAGTATATTTGGCCAGAATCAGGGACAATGTGGCCACTTATGGAGAAGATTCTACAATGTCTGGCCCGTTCAATGAATAATGAAATTGTCCTGTGCTCTCATCATGCCACATAGTGTTTGTCTGACTGGGAAACTGTTTGAATGCACTGGCTTGCCTCCTTCCATACAAGGATTTGTTTCTAGTAGATGGGTGAGGGAAGGAGGGAGGTATGAATATAAGTGTTAGCACTTGGGCTCTAGCATTAGACTGCTTCTTTTCAAGTGCTTGTTTGACTGTTTTCAGACTGTGTGACCTTGCTCTAGTCACTTAATGCCCCTGGACCTCAATTTTTTCATTTCTATGAAGTACAGGAAAATATTTTTCATTTCAACCGTTTTTGGGGAACAAGTGGTCTTCTATTACATAGGTAAGTTCTTTAGTGGTAATTTGAGATATTAGTGCACCCCTCACCTGAGCAGTATACACTGTACCTAATGTGTAGTCTTTCAACCTCAAGTTTGTAGTGACGTTTAAATTAGAAAATACAGGAAGGAAATTAGCAGGGTGCCTGGCCCTCAATAAAAACTTTGAAATTGAGTTTCTGACTTCACAGGCAGCCTAGTTTGAGTCAAATCTATCAGGAAAGTCTTCAGGGCTTCCTATATATAATTATGACCACGTTGTCTGCAGAGACAATTTAACTTCTTCCTAATTTAAGTGCCTTTGATATTTTTTTCTTGCCTGCTTGCTCTAAGACTGTTGGTATTCTATTGAATAAAAATGGTGAGCTTAGATATCCATGTCTTGTCATATATGGCCTTTATTATGTTGAAGTACATTCCTTCAGTACAAAATTATCTTTGTTAAGAGTTTTATCATAATGTTGTCAAATGATTTTTCTGCAGGAGATGACCAGATGATTTTTATCCTTCATTCTGTTAATGTGGTGTGTCACATTTATTGATTTATTTACATTTAATCATTCATGCAGCCCAAGGATAAACCCCACTTGATCATAGTGGAGGATACTCTTAATGTGCTGTTCAGTTCAGTTTGCTAGTGTTTTGTTGAGGATTTTTTATCTATGTTTATCAAGGATATTGGCCTAGAATTTTCTTTTCTTCTAGTGTCCTAATCTGGCTTTGGTATGAAGGTAATGCTGGGCCTTGTTAAATGAGTTTGGAAGTGAAAGTGGAGTGTTCTTTTTTTTTTTAAGATAGTCTAGCTCTGTTGCCCAGGCTGGAGTGCAGTGGTGTGTTCTTGGCTCACTGCAAGCTCCACCTCCCAGGTTCACACCATTCTCGTGCCTCAGCCTCCCAAGTAGCTGGGACTACAGGTGCCTGCCACCACACCTGGCTAATTTTTTTTTTTTTTTTGTATTTTTAGTAGAGATGGGGTTTCACCTTGTTAGCCAGGATGGTCTTGATCTCCTGACTTCATGATCTACCTGCCTCAGCCTCCCAAAGTGCTGGAATTACTGGCATGAGCCACCGCACACAGCCTAGTTCTTCTTTAAATACCAGGTACTAATAAATTCAGTAAAGCTGCAGAATACAAAATCAACATCCAAAACTCAGTTGCATTTTGCTAACAATGAACTATCCAAGAAATTAAGGAAATGATCCTATTTTTATAATAGCACCAAAAAGAATAAAATACTTAAGAATCAATTTAACCAAGGAGGTAAAAAAATCTGTACACTAAAAACTGTAAGACATTAATGAAAGAAATGGAACAATATCCTGTGTTCATAGATTGGAGAAATATTGTTAAAATGTCTATACTCTCCAAAGCAATCTACGGATACAATCCCTAACAAAATTCCAACATAATTTTCCACAAAGAGAGAAAAGCAGTCCTAAAATTCATATAGAACCACAAAAGACCCCAAGTAGCTAATGCAATTTTGAAAAAGAAAAACAGAGTTGGAGGCACACAGCCCCGATTCAAATTATATTACAAAGCTATAGTTATCAAAACAGTATGGCACTGGTATAAAAATAGACATGTAGACCCATGGAACAGAATAGACAACTCAGAAATAAATCCATGCATTTATAGTCAACTAGTCTTTGACAGGATGACAAGACTACACAATGGGGAAAGGATAGTCTCTTTAATAAAGGGTACTGGGAAGAAAATTAGACATTCCCATGCAAAAGAATGAAGTTAGACCTGTGACTTAAACCATACAGAAAAGTTAACTTGAAAAGGATGTAATCTATGAAATGAAACTATGAAACTTCTAGAAGAAAACATAGGATAAAAGGTCCTTGTTATTGGTCTTTGGAATGATATTTTGGTTATGACACCAAAAGTACAGGCAACAAAAGCAAAAATAAACAATTGGGACTACATCAAATGGAAAAGCAACCTACAGAATGGGAGAAAATACTTGCAAGTCATATATCTGATAAGGAGTTAAGATCCAAAATTTAAAAGAAACCCACCTGCTCAATTGCCAAAAATTAATACCCTAATTAAAAAGTAGGAAAAAGAACTGAATTGATATTTTTCCAAGGAAGACATACAAATGACCAACAGGCATATGAAAAGGTGAAGGAATGCCATGTCTTCCAACTTTCCTATGGCTTTTTGTAATTGACTTTAAGTGGTTGCTGGCCACTCACTAGAATGGCAAGGAGAGATGAACACCATGTATGATGGAAATTTTTAGTGCTTTTAGTTTTTGCTATTAACAGAGACCATCAAACATAAGAACCAGTTGCAATACCATTGTAACCTGCAATCAAAGATGATGACCATAATAACAGCTAACATTTTCTAAGACTATTGTGACTGGCTCAAAGTCAGCAAAGACTTTCACACATGGATTAACTTTATCCTCTTAATATCCTAGGGTGAGGATCTACTTTTCAAATGAAAAAACGGACAGAGAAGTCCGAGAACTAGTCTAATCTAGAGGATGGCACAGTCAGAATTCAAACCCAGGCAAGCCCACCACAAAGCCTGAGATCTCACCAGCTCTATTTTACAGTTGGGCAGTCCACTGCAAAAGTGATCTATTTTTTATTTGTATAAACTTAAGGGTACATAGTGGTGAAGTCTGGGCTTTTAGTGTAGCCATCACCCAAATAGTGTACCTTGTACCCCTTAAGTAACTTCTCGTCCTTCCCACCCTTCCAAGTCTCCAATTTGTTGTTCCGTGACTATGTCTCTGTGTACACATTATTCAGCTCTTGTTTATAAGTGAGAAAATGACTGACTTTTGACTTTGACTTTGTTTCTGGGTTATTTCACTTAAGATAATAACCTCCGGTTCCATCCATGTTGCTGTAAAAGACAGGATTTCATTCTCTTCTGTGGCTGAGTAGTATTTGATAGCGTATCTATACCACATTTTCTTTATCCAGTCTTCCACTGATAGACACATGTTGATTCCATGACTTTGCTATTTATTACCAGTGCTGCGATAAACATATGAGTGCAGGTGTCTTTTTGATATAACAGTCTCTTTTCCTTTGGGCAGATAGCCGGGGGTGGGATTGCTGGATTGAATGGTTGTTTGGTTTTTAGTTATTTGAGAAATCTCCATACTGTTTCCCATAGAGGTGGTACTAATTTGCCTTCACACCAACAGTGTATAAGCATTCCCTTTTCTCTGTGTTGTCACCATCTGTTGCTTTTAAATTTTTTAATAAAGAAATATTTTGTAGAGTATATGCCTGATGAGATTCCTTAAATTTACTAACAGTAAATTTAATAGCAATCTTTGAACTCAGTGTACTACTCTGTATTGAGTTTTATTTTGTCCATCTTTGGAGGAAGAAACAGTGTCACAAATATTATTTGGCCTTTGTTTTCCAGCTTCCATTGTGATTCAGAAATGGTGGTGTCACATGAATCCATGTTTGGAAGGAGAGGATTGTAAAGTGCTGCCAGATTACTCAGGTTGGTCCTGTAGCAGTGGCAATAAAGTCAAAACTACAAAGGCAAGTATAGACAAAATGCAACTACAATTTACAATTTATCAACTGTGGGGCTTCCTCCCCTTGATTTTATTCTGCCATCAACAAAACATTATTATGTGTTGACAAACCTGCTGGGGCAGTGCTACCTTAGGGCTTTGGCCTTTTTGAAAAGTGCATTTCCCAGCATCATTCTGTGCGTCAGATTTTATAGAGCAGTGATTTGGTGGGAGAATTCATTATTTTAGGCAGGGCCCCTAAATTCATTTCAGCTTCTTCACAAGCCCGATTTAAAGTAAAAGTTTCAGAGCTGACAGGCCAGTGTATCAAAACACCATGGCAAGAATCCACATCCAGATGATTTACTCAAGTAGAAATACCTATTGCTTTAAAGGAGATTTAATGGTTGGAGATTCTTATTCAAGACTTAGAAGCCAACACTTTTCTCCCCAAATGGTCCTCTTTTTAATTCTCACTGTCACTGAAGAACACCATTGTCTACCCAGTTCTCCAGCCAGAAACCTACCTTCTTCCTTATCTTCCCATGATCAGTTGGTTACATTGTCCTTAGGATTTTTACTACCCAACTTTCCCATGATTCTTCAACACTGTGCTTACTCCTCTTGTCCAATCGGCCATCTCATATGGAGATGCATCTGGATTGCTGCCTTCCAATCTGGTCCCTACACAGTGACTACAGTAATTTTGTAAAATGCACATCCTCTAAGCTGATCCACCTCAAAATATTCCACTGGCACCCTCTGGTAATTGGTCCACTAGCCTCTGCCTGGTCTTTAATGAGTAACATGGCTAAGCCACCTCCGCTTCCTTCTTGCTGCTCTAAACATCCTGGCCTTTTGTCAGTCCCTCTTACCCTGGTCCTTTTGCACTGGCTGTTTCCATCCTTTTCTGGTTAATCATCATTTTTCCAGGGACCTCTTTCCTGATTGAATGCATGCTCCCTGTATCTTTGAGCATTTATTATGGTTACATTTTACATAGATTGCTATCCATATTTTGCTTAATACCTAGAACTTTCTGTCTCGTGGGAGAGCTTTGATGTTGGGCCCTGGCAGTCCCAGAGCCAGCTGAATGCCTTGGTAACTATTTCTTGAATGAAAATTGACATGACCAAGGTCATTCTAAGATCATTAGAATTAGACATACTGGAATGGAGTGACTCTGGTTATCACTGCTATTGAACTTTGATCCCTTAGGAAATACATACAGTGAATGGCTTCTTGCCTTTCTTATGTCGTCTCCTTTATGAATACTTTGAGCACTCTAAGTGCTTAGTAATTCATCTTCAGTCATGGAGGTCAAAAGCAGGCCAGTTCTTCTAAGTGTTAACATGAACTATTATATTAAGATTTTGTAAAATATATTAAAACATAAAGATAGTAAGTCTAAAACAAAATATTAGAAAATATGATTGTACAAAACATTTTAAATGGGAACTTTAGCTGATATTATACCCCAGATTATCAATGGAATAGTTGTCAGTTGATTCTAGGTAAAACCAGAATGTCAAAATGAAGACCATTTTCAACATTAATTGCAATTGTCAAGTAACTTACCCTTGTTACTGATATTGAGATGACTGGGGTAATGACCTGATATCTGCTTTTGTATCCAGGGCAGCAGAAGTCCATGGAGTCATTTACTGGTGGGGCAAGGAGGTCAACACTCGTATCATTCTAAGCCATTCCCAATAAACTTCCATCCTATATAGACCCAGCATGCTTGCTAAGCAAACCCTGCCTTAAGATAATTTCCTTATCTTTCCCTTGGGCCGTTTCAGCTATTTTTTCCTAATTCCTTCCTAAGTAAAAATCTTGGAGTAACCCATGAATTAGGGTATTACATCCATCAGTGATAAAAATTTTCTTTCATCATATTTCTTGTAGGCTAAGGAATAACATTTTGGAAGATTCTATTTGTATTGATTTTTATATATAAATACAAAACAAGATCATGAGCAGAAGCCAACGGTAGTTCTCTTGGTAGAACGGCTCTCTATTTATGTGTAGTTAGAGAAGGCATTTGCAGGAAGCAAACCTTTAGGGACATTTTGGCTCAGTGCTGGGAATGTAAGTTTGCTCTAGCTAAATCCTCAATGGTAGTGACATTTCATTTAGCACTTTGAAAAGTTGTAGAAAGATAATACAGTTCCCCAAGCCATCATGATACTTGGGCTGCTTTTTTAGTGATATGTCACTTGAGAATAATCTTGAAGTCATAAAACTTTGTTTCCTTTATTAATCCAAGTCAGTGTGACTTGAACTGCATAAAACATTTTATGTCTTTTATGGATCTTATGCACATAGAGTAAATTCATTTGTGGATCTGTGACTAGCTTCCAGTTGTATCTTTTTCTTAAAATTGTTACTGACCTTACACCACAGGTAAGACAGAGGTCCTAGAAAAGCAGAGCAATTATCTCCCTAGAGGATGTGTTAACTAAACTATATAACAAAATAGTTTCCATTTTCTTTAAACAGTTCATGCACAGCAGCATCAAAACACAGAAAGGCTAAAGTAAGATGGTCTCCAGTAAGCCAGCTATGTCAGAATTTTATTTTCCATTTAAATGCAAATATGAAAATAGTTGGCAGTTAACTTGAATACTAATAGCTTTAGATGAAGATATGAAAAGAGAGAGGATAATTCCCTAACTAGTCATCTTTTCCAGGTATAAAATACTGGCATTGAGTTTACTCTGCCGACATAGTTTTCAGCGTCTCTAGAGCTACTGCTTCTTGTGGGAAAATATGACCCTCTCTATGGACCTGCCTTAATTGAAATCTGGGTTTTGCTGCATTCTCTGCGCTAAGGAGCTTTTCACTCTCTGGGGTTGCCATTGTTAAGCCTTCTAACAAGGGTATGATGTCTTCTTAGCATCGAAGCCAAGCATTTGCCATATCTTGTTTGTGAGCAGAAGCAAATCACTTTGAATCTTGAGACATTTTAGACTTTTTAATGTTCTTATTTTTGAATCCTCTACTAAGGGTGAAAAGCTATGTCTTTATAGTAGTAGTTCTCATCCAGAGGCACTTTTGCCCCTGAGAAGACGTTTGGCAATGTCTTGGATATTTCTGGTCATCACACATTGTGAGGATGCTACTGGCATCTTGTGGGTAGAGGCCAGGGATGCTACTAAACATCCTACAAAGCACAGACAGCCTCTACAACAATTATTTGACCCCAGTATATTTTTTTCAGTAGCTCTTTGCAGACTTCCTACTTGATTCTTTTACTTCATTTTTCAAAGTTTCTATTGTCTAAATATTTCCAATATTTCATATTGGAAAATTTCTACAGAATGGAAGCAACGGTTTTGTCTTCAGTATCTTCCTCAAATGGCTCTCTAATCTACTTGTCTCTTGGGCCATCACCATGGGTCATTGTCAATATAATAATAATTTAATGCTATCATGGGAATGTGTTAGAAACACAGTTTTGAACTCTAACTCTAGGATATTCTGGTATAGTAAAAGTCTAGGATAGGGCTTAGAAAACCATGCTTTTAAAACAGTTGTTCTTAGGGTGAGTGTGATGAACAGGCAGCATGAGGGAACCATTAGTCTAACTGAGCTCTCTACCTGTTCTCACCCTTAATTGACTTATACCTTGCTTTCTCTGCATCAAGGGTAAACTCCCTGCCCAGGTTCCCTCCCTGTTGAGAGATCATCAATGGATCCCCCTTGGAAACTGATGCAAAATACAGATTATAAGCATCTTAAATGGGCCTTCACTGCCAATCATTGTACAGGCCATATACTTCCTCATACCATTGCTGCCTCCTTTTTTCACTTCCTCTTCTAAAATTCCACTTGTCTTTTTTTTTTTTTTTTAATTATACTTTGAGTTCTAGGGTACATGTGCATAATGTGCAGGTTTGTTACATATGTATACTTGTGCCATGTTGGTGTGCTGCAACTATCAACTCGTCAGCACCCATCAACTCGTCATTTACATCAGGTATAACTCCCAATGCAATCCCTCCCCCCTCCCCCCTCCCCATGATAGGCCCCGGTGTGTGATGTTCCCCTTCCCGAGTCCAAGTGATCTCATTGTTCAGTTCCCACCTATGAGTGAGAACATGCGGTGTTTGGTTTTGTGTTCTTGCGATAGTTTGCTGAGAATGATGGTTTCCAGCTGCATCCATGTCCCTACAAAGGACACAAACTCATCCTTTTTTATGGCTGCATAGTATTCCATGGTGTATATGTGCCACATTTTCTTAATCCAGTCTGTCACTGATGGACATTTGGGTTGATTCCAAGTCTTTGCTATTGTGAATAGTGCCGCAATAAACACACGTGTGCATGTGTCTTTATAGCAGCATGATTTATAATCCTTTGGGTATATACCCAGTAATGGGATGGCTGGATCATATGGTACATCTAGTTCTAGATCCTTGAGGAATCACCATACTGTTTTCCATAATGGTTGAACTAGTTTACAATCCCACCAACAGTGTAAAAGTGTTCCTATTTCTCCACATCCTCTCCAGCACCTGTTGTTTCCTGACTTTTGAATGATCGCCATTCTAACTGGTGTGAGATGGTATCTCATTGTGGTTTTGATTTGCATTTCTCTGATGGCCAGTGATGATGAGCATTTTTTCATGTGTCTGTTGGCTGTATGAATGTCTTCTTTTGAGAAATGTCTGTTCATATCCTTTGCCCACTTTTTGATGGGGCTGTTTTTTTCTTGTAAATTTGTTTGAGTTCTTTGTAGGTTCTGGATATTAGCCTTTTGTCAGATGAGTAGATTGCAAAAATTTTCTCCCATTCTGTAGGTTGCCTGTTCACTCTGATGGTAGTTTCTTTTGCTGTGCAGAAGCTCTTTAGTTTAATTAGATCCCATTTGTCAATTTTGGCTTTTGCTGCCATTGCTTTTGGTGTTTTAGACATGAAGTCTTTGCCCATGCCTATGTCCTGAATGGTACTACCTAGGTTTTCCTCTAGGATTTTTATAGTAGTAGGTCTAACATTTAAGTATCTAATCCATCTTGAATT